GAGACTCCTCTGGGGGGATCCTCTTCATGGCCTTAGGAAAAGGACGTCAGCGTTAGGTGGAAGCTGTACAGAAAGGACCTCGAGGGGTCATCCAGGACCAGCGGCCCGGCGGCAGCGGCGCTGAGTGGGCCCGGCGCCTGCAGCCGGGACCCGGCCCCAGGGGCGCCGCCTCCGCCCGCGGCTTCTGCACGGTGGGTGCGAACGCGCGCTGGGGGCGCCCGGGCCGGGCGGGGTGGGGCGCGCCGGCGGCAGGCACCTGGGACGACCGCCCCCGCGCGGGCGGAGCGCGCGGAGCCCCGGGACCCTAAGCTGCCCCAGCGGGGAGCGCTGCAGCTCGGGCCCCTCCCGCCAAGCGCCTGGGAGCCGGTGGCTTCCTTTGGGTTCCCGCCCTGGGACGGGAGGCTCTGTCCGTTCCCGGGGCAGCCAGGGCGCTCCCTCGGTCTCCCTCCCCGCGCGCTCCTCCCCCGTCCGTTTGCAGGGAGGTGCTCTCCTCGGGCCGCGGGGAAGGCGGGTGAGTAGGGAGAAAACTGCCCGGGGAAGACGGGCTGTGGGGGTGCAGATGGAAGGTGAAAGGCCAGGGAGGTGCAGGGTGCTGGTGGTGGAGGGATGACAGGGACCTGCTGGCAAGGGGTGCCGCCCCCACCCACCTGGCAGGGAGGAAGCGCGGCTCCCCGAGGACCTGGAGGAGAGTAGTGAGAAGAGCTGGGGCTCTCCATCCAATGAAGAGGGCTTCCCTCAGGGCCATTGCTTCGGGGTTCTGGGCTGGGAGGGGGCCTAGGGGCGGCCCGGGTCCCCTTTGGGTTTTCCCGGCTTCCAAGCCAGGTTACATAAGGAGGCAAGCCGGTTCATCTAGGTAACCAGCTCCTCCTCTCCTGAACAGCCCACTTTAGAAGGTTCCCTTTTGCCTTTCCCCTCAAAGGAGGTTGAGGGATTTGGGTCTTAAGGCCTGGACCCCAGACCCTGGGGTGGTAGACCCAGGCTTTGCCTGAGTCATTGGGAGCTGCTGGGAAGATGGGGAGGCCTTGGCTCTTCTGCAGGAATGGATGGGCCATGCATGCGCCTGGAGATGGAGAGGCTGGTGGAAGGGAAATCAACTGACCCTTGGGGTCAGCTCCACTTGCAAGGTTGCCTGACCCTTGCCCAGTGTGCTGCCCTCCCTACTGGCATCCAGGGCATCTGGCTGTGGCCTGACTACATGTGCTCAGGGCTGTCTCTCAAAAAAGGGCTTGCAGACTGTGGGTGTATATACCCAGGTTTAAACCTTGGTAGTCTCTTTTCAGGGTCATAGTTTGAGAAGCAGCAGAAGCTTTCAACCATGATTGGGTGGTTCTTTAAGGCCTTTCTATGAACTGTGTTCATATATCACCTTCCTTCTTCCCAAATCTCTTCTCTGAAAGTTTTTTAAAACACCTCCCATTGCTTTCACCTTTCCAGCAAATCTGGCTGCAGCTTGGATAGTTGCCTTACCTTCCTTTGCAGGTTTCTAGGGAAGAGTTTAACCAGGTATCAGGTGTGAGCATGGCTCTGCATTTACGTAAACCTGAGGACCAGGGAAGAGAAGCAAGGTCTATTCTCCTGCCTCTGGCTGGCGAAGGTTTTGCCTTATTTAAAACGGGGAGGATGGATTTCTCAAAGACTCTTCTGTTCCCCTTCGACTTTGGCTTTGGTTCAGAGCTGCAGGCTGCTCCAGAATCTTCCTGAAGAGCTGGGTGCTGTGAGATTTGAAGGGCTGCTGGAAAGCATGGGTGTGGAGGCCTCTGACTTTTCTCCTAGGTTGTTTGCAGCCACCTCCAGGGAGAGGTGTTGATAAGTGGTAACAGTGTCCCCCAGGGAAGGATTTGGACAAGGATCTCCTCACTCACTGCCTGCTTAGCCACCAGCTTCTGTCTCCCCCACCTGTTTGCAGGATGTGTGGGCATCTTTTCCAACCTGCAGAACCCTTGGCAGGAGGAGGAGGGCTAGGCTCTCCAGGCCTTGTTTGTTGTGGGGCTGCTGGTGTTGCAATGGGCTGTCTCTCGCATCAGTGTTTCTGTTTCCAGCTCCACTCTGGAAGAGAGGGGCCAATGCTGACTCTAGGTTGGCTTGCTCTGCATTCATTCAGCCCCAGCTCAACTTGAGCAATCGGAGCCAGAGCTGAGGGCAAGCAACATTCTTTTCTGCTTTTCTGCTGCAGGATGCAGTTTGCTTTTTTCCATGCGAATGAATTATGTTTGAAACTGAAATGGGAGGAAGAGAAAAATAGGGTGAGTGTATGAATATGTGTGTGCATATACCTATATAGGCAGGGGGAGAGCAGCAGGCACATTATTTTTCCATTTTCCTTTAATTAAGGCTCTGTGGAGGTGTGTTTGAAAACAGAGGGTCTCCTATGCCTTTGAGGAGGGTGAGAACACTGTTTTGGCTGCGTCCCGGGCCATATGCAGCGTATGGTGGCCAATGAAACTGGGCCTGGCTCGTTCTGTTGCTTGTCTTGGCAGTCGGTTCCGTGGCTTGTGTTACCAGCTCTGGAACTTACGGGCTGCCAAGCTCCGTGTGCCTGTGCATGAGTGTGTGTGTGTGTGTGTGTGTGTGTGTGTGTGTGTGTGCGTGCATGTGTGTGCACACTCTTGTGCGTGTGTGTGGTTTGGCCTCTCGAAGCTCAGCAGAGACAAATGCCTTAGCGACCCAGGGTTGGAATTTCAGCCTGTGTTTCTTTACATTCATTGCTGGCTGTGGGAGGCCCAGCCAGAGCCCACCGTTCTGGGTTTTCTTGTTTGTTTGTTTTGTTTTGTTTTTTTAAGTCTGTTTTCTTGCTGCAGCCCATGAGATTCCAGTTGTGGAGCTTCGTTTCCAAAGCTTTAGCTGGCCAATGACATTTATTTTAAAAAAGGGCCAGAGGATTTCTCACTGTGGATATGTCTGTGTAATGTATCATACTGTGAACTTTCTGACACCAAGCAACAGAGATGGGGCGATGTGGGAAGAGAGGCTAGAGGCTTGTTGGGTGGCAGTACCTCCCCAGCTTCTTGCTGCTCTGGATAAGGATTCCTGACAGAAGTGACTTAATGTGTATTCACTGAGCATCTACATTAGGCAGGGGAGACAGCCGTGTTTACAGGCAGGGCCTTGGCAAAAGCGTTTCTCTGGTCCCCTAGGAAGAACCTTTCCTGGGGAGAGGTTCCAGTTTCTTCTATGGCTGGGATAGCTATGCAGGGATCTTGAATGTCCGTGTGCCATGTGGGTGGCTTCTCCTGAGTGCCACCACCCCTTTTTTCCTTAAGACTATTTGAGGAGTGGCCCCTTCTAAGCAGTACAGGGATAGAGTAGATCAAAAGACACAGAAGATGCTGGCCCTCTGCTTCTGGAGGCAGGGGTGGAAATCCAGCCCGTTGGGCTGCCCTGTAGCCAGTGATCTATGCGGCTGTGTTCTGGCCTGTAGGATGGAGGAGACCTTAGGAGAAACTGAGGCAAAGGGTAGGTGCTGTGCTTCATTTCTGCCCCTGTGTACCCAGCCCTGACTTGGCCCCTTCATTTCTATTCTGCATTAACTGCCTGGATACAGGAAGGTCCTGGCCCTTTGGGGTTTAGAGCTGGAGAGTGGGACAGCAGAGACTCCTCTGGGGGGATCCTCTTCATGGCCTTAGGAAAAGGACGTCAGCGTTAGGTGGAAGCTGTACAGAAAGGACCTCGAGGGGTCATCCAGCACCAGTGTCCCTCCAGGAAGGAAGGCCCTTGTGGCTACGCTGACTTCACATTCACTAGGGGCAAGCACCATTCCAGGTACTTTTCAAGTTTTCACTAATTTAATCCTCTGTGCACCCTGGCAGGGTAAATAATGTTATTATTCCCACTTTACAGCTAAGACAAGTGAGGCACAGAGAGGTTAGGGATCTTGCCCAAGGTCACACAGCTAGTCAGGGGCAGAGCTAGTTTTTCCACTTGGGCCATCTGGCTCCAAACCTCCCACCCTTACCCTGCCCCCTTCTCCTGCCTGCAGAGCTGGGACGGCCACCTGGAGAGGGGCTTCTGCCCCTTGCCCTTGCTCTCACTCTTGGAGCTTTCGCCATCCTTTAGCGTCTTGCCGTCTGGATCTCTGTCTTTTCGCAGCTAGCTGACCTACATTGTTTCAGATTCCAGGAGAGAGATCATCCCAGATAATTCCTTGGCTCCAAGAACAGGTTTGGTGTTTAATTCTCCAAGATTCATGATAGTTTGTGCTATGCTCTGTGATCACTAGCGTGACACCTTTCTGCACTGTACACCCCCCACCCCTCCTGTATTCTACACAGTTTCCTTCAGGGACCCTTCCCAGTCTCCAGCTCCCAAGACCTCCCACCCGCTCTTGCTGATTCTCAGCTGCTGACTACCCACTCTTGACTTCTAACTCCAGGAGTGCTCCTGGGACCTGACCCTCTGAATTCCCGTGCTCCTTGATTTGCCCTCACTCAGCTGCATTTCTCCTTGGCACCACGCCTTGCAGCCTTAGGCCACCTGCACCCCCTGGCATACCCATTCCTGGCTCCTGATGCCCACCCAGGCCAGCCGTTTGCCTGGAGGGCAGCTAACCTTCTCAAAGAGGCCCAGGGATTTTAAAGCCTCCCTTCAACTTTTGTGTCTATGGACAGAAAGTTTATGATGTAGATGCTAACTTTCTCTTAACCTGACTTTCTCTCTCTCTCTCTCTCTCTCTCTCTCTCTCTCTCTATATATATATATATATATATATATACACATATAGATAGATAGATAGATAGATATAGATATAGATATATGTATCTGTCTTTGCTATTCTAGATGAAGACGCTGAGTCTTGGGCATTTTCTAATAAGAATAGCTCTTTACAAGTTTGACCCACTAAAGCAAAACTACTATTTGTAGGTACTTCTATTTAAAACAAGTATGAGATCTTACAGATTTACATACAGTAAACAAGAGAAGAAAATAAAAGGGAAACACTGAAGTTACCTCTACCTTTTTTTCTTTTGGCTAAAATGATTTTTTATGTTATTATCTCCCAATAGGGCCTATTTTCTGGACTTGAAAAGTTTTCTGGATTTTCTTCTACTTGTTCAAGGCAGCACCCCAAACTGTGGAACTGCAAGTCCCTGAGGAAATCAGAAGCGATACAAATATCAAATCTTTCCTACAGGTTCTTTTCTCTGGGATCCGTCTGGTCCCTGTTCCTTGTAAGCCAGCATTGAGGAAGCTGCATCAAATCACCCATAACCTCAGGCTCAGTCACAGCTTAGGGCCCACTGTAACCTCCTGAATGCTTTCTTCTTCGTGCCGTGCTTGTCAGTCGCATCTTGATCTGTGCATTACCCAGTTTTTCTGCACTGGCTAATTTCCAGGTTATTCCTGGTCAGTGTCCCAAATTGCCAAAGTGTTTTTGGATTCTGGGCCTGCCGTTTGAGGCACAAGCTTCCTTTGCCAGTTTTGGTCTTCCGCCAGTGTATAGCGCTTGCTCTTTATTTATGCATCCTCGTTACTAATGGAGACATGGAGGGTGTTTATCTTCCTTTTGGACCTCCTGGGCCCTGAAGGGGAAAAAAAAACCCTCTGGGTTCTTCCCCTAAAGCTTTTAGTGCATAGTTCTCCTTTTCCTACTAAATTGTTTCCTTATGGAACAAACAGTTGGGGAGATGATTTCACCTCTTGTCATCTTTCCTGTGTCTTCCTTGAAGTGGGTAAATTCCTCCTAGATGTTATTGGTTCCCTGCCACGACCCCCTTCCCTTCTTATAGACCCCTAAATCACATCAAATTGTTTTTATTTTTCCAATCACCAAAGTTGCCTTTCAGCCTTGGATTGTCAGCCAGCTCTTTCCAGTTAATGAGGATCCAATTATGAAAGGCAGCTGCTCCACCTCCTCCATCTTCTGCTCCTCCTCCCCCCCGCCCCCCCCCAAGCTTGTTAGGATGACTTCTCGCTGGTGAATGTCAGCTGTTGTGGTTGTCTCCTAGGAATGGCATGTGTTAAGGACTTTGTGGTTTGTATTGGAGCAGTTAGGGGCGCCCTTGTGGTAGGGGGTGGGGGGAAGAGGGAGATTTTTGCTTCTGCAAAGGAGAGCCTTGGAGCCCCATGCCCTGAGTGAGGCTGTCATTGGGTTGGGTTCACAGGGGAGCAGGAATGGCAAGAATTTATGGGGCTGCTGCTCCGAGGGGGTGGTTACCCCTCTTCGGGGGGGGAGGGAGGGTTCCACAGTAGCAGATATTTTGGGATCATTTGTTAGTGTCTCATTTATACCATCTGTATGAAAATAAACAGAAGCCGCAAGCTGAGCCTATCATTCCCGGAATAGAGTGGGGTCTGGCTTCCATCTCTCAGAGATGGCTTAGGCGGGGAAACACACAGAAGCTTCTGGAGGCTTTTTTCTTGGGGTCTACTGTGGGAACGAATAAGCTGGAGGTAGATAATGAGCATCTAAAATTCTGGAGACAGGTCCTTACCCTACTCATGGAGTGTTAGGCTACCATGAATTTGTTATCATGTGTTCATTCATTCATTTATGTATCCATTCAATAAGTATTGTTGATGACCCCTTTTTGTGCCTGAAATGATGCTCAGCACTGTGGTCTCATGGGGCAATAACCAGCCATGACTGCCCCTTGCCCCATGAAATCACCCCTTCACTTGCTGAGTGGCCACGTGGCACATTTTGCCACACAAGAATGGGTCCTTCCAGTTTGGCGAGGTCCTTTGGAGGCTTCTGGCCAAGGAGGGGATTTTGCTCTGTATTTTTGCTTTGCTGCATATCTGAGGTGTGGCACCCCAGCCTCTCTTAGGGGTTTGTGTGCAGCAGAAGCACCAGGCCCGGAGCACTTTCCAGCCTCCCGTCTCCTGTGTCTTGACTAGCTCAGTTAAGCTTCCTTTTGGGGGGTCTCTGACTCCTTGTATCATCAGTTCAGGTCTAAAAGAGAGGATTTTGGAGGGTTTTCTCCTCTCCTGAGAAGGAGATGTGTTTCCTTTGTCAGTTCAGTTGACGTGGCCTGAAATTACCAACTTTGCCTGCCGAGTGTTCACATGACTGGGCCCAGGCATCATTTTGCTACACAGGAATGAGTCCTTACACTGGCCCTTTTCTTGTTTTCCCTGGAGGAAGCCTGGGGAGACATGCAGCTCATCCGCCATGCCCTGGAGCAGCCTCCTGTTGTGGCATCCTGCAGCCCTCTCTGCATTGCAGATCCAGCTCTGGAAGGTGGAGGGGGTGACTCTCTCCCGGACCCTGGACTCAAGTCCAGCTCAACTTTACGGAGGGTCACAGCACATTGACCAACCACATGTGAGACATCTCAGAGGCCATTTCTATGTCTAGGCTCCTGCCCGGGCTGCCAAGAGGTTATTCAGGGAACTTCCTAAACCTGGATCTTTATGGGAGGCAGAGTAGAGGGTCCTTTGTGCAAGAGAATGATCCTCCACTATGGGCTCGTGTCTGAAGGTCTACTATCAGAAGGCCATTCCGTCTGCATTAACATCTCTTGGGGCCCAGGAGGGGAAACAAAAAGTGCGGGCTGAGAAAGCTTTGGTCTAAAATCCACCCCTGGCTCTTTCCCTCTCTAGCTGTGTGACCTTGGGTAAATCATTTAACCTCTCTGAGCTTCAGTTTGCTCATGTGCAAAATGAGGATGTGGTTTAGATAAGCACAAGGCCTCCTCCAGCTCTAACACTAGAACTTGGTGTGAATGAATCTCAGATCCTTTTCTGAGATGGCCTGGTGGACACTTGGTACTAAGGAGGGGAAAAAGGATGTGGGTGGGAAGGAGGGCCTGAGGGGCCAGGTGTGGAAGGAAGAACAGGTACAGCAAGGATGAAAGAGCCTGGGGCACCCAGTGTAAACTTGGGTACAAGGCAGGAAGCTGTGTGCACATGGCTTCATGGACAGATACGGCCTGTGTGCTGAGGATGAAATGGCAGACCCACTGTCTTCTCACAAGCACCTTTCTTTCAAGAAAGTGATGTCCAGTTGAAACCTTTGTGGTTTGAGGATGCAAATCACCATGTGCTTTTTCCCTCAGCGTGCAGAACCTATTGAGAAAGGGACACAGGGTTGAATAGGGAACCAAATTTCACCTTTGAAAGTGAAATGGAAATGGAGAATGTGGGGTGCACTTGTGGCCCAAACAGGCTTCCTCTTATGTTCCTCACTTGAAATCTAGACCTGAGGCCCTGAATGGGGTCAGGGAGTTGTGTGTCGCCCTCCAGGGCCACTCTCGTGGGTGGCAGAGAGCCCAAGACAGGGTGGCCCTATGAGCACATTGACTCTTCCCAACAGAGAAGTGAGGTCCAGTGGATGACACATCTCGCCTGTCTCGCCACCCCTCCCCATGGGAAGAGACAGGTGAAGACGGAAGGATAGGTAAAAGCTTCTCCCTCTGGATTTGATTTTATGGCCCTATGCAAAGAGGTGGAAAGGGGGAGAAATGATTTCCTTTATAGGACTGGAATCCAGAAGCAGCTTTGTACTAAAATGCTACTTAACTTAGAAGCCAAGGCTATGCATGTTTGATCCCCATAGTCTCCGTGCCTCCTTGCTCATAGCAGGTGATCGACAATCGGATGGATGGATGGATGGATGGATGGATGGATGGATGGATGGATGAGTGGATGGATGGATGGGTAGGATCCCTGTAAGGGACCAGATGAGTCTGGCTTTGTTGGCTGACAAGCTTTCCGCATTGCCTTCTGTGCCTTAAAGTGACCATTTCTTACCCATGAACTTCTTCCTCTAAAGAGAAGGAAAAAATAACAATTCACTTGGTGTTGACCTGTCTAATTTATGTCTTTCTTTCATGCCTGAACCTGCCTTCCCTTGCAAACTTCCTAGGTCTGGCAGAGCCAGCATATGTATTTGCTTTGAGAAACAGGAGACCCTGGAGGACTTTTCTGGTACTGGGCCCCACTGGGAAAGCACATGCTAATTAATTCCACCTCCTTTGCCTCAGTCTTTTCCTCGTAGATACCAGCTACATACACTCAACTTTAACTTCAATTTGCTTCATTTGATATTCAGAGTGGCTTAACAAGTATGCAGAACGGGATGTGTGATTTGAGGGGAGGCACCGTGCCAGACCAAAAATAGCTCTCTCTTAAACAGGTGCAAAGGTGCTCGAGATTCCACCGTTATAATTCGTTCTCTCGGGAGGCAGTACGTTTCGGTTTAAATCCCAGCTCCTCTGGTTTTAACTGTGTACAGTCTTGCGTGAGTTATCTTTCTAAGCCTTGGCTGCTTCCTCTGTGTAATGGGCCCTGACCTAGTCTTATGGGGCAAGTGGAAGGATTACGCAGTACCAGGCACATAGCAAACGCTGAATCAATGTGGCCTACGGTTGGGCTAAGTGTTGCCTGAAGTGCCAGGGATAGCCTTGGTGTGAGTTAATTCATGAAGCTTCTTTATAACAGCATGGACTTACTGGCAGGAAGAGCAACTGGGCTGGGAAGGGGTTCAGGGGGCCATGGGTGAGACGATGAGGTCCTGGCAGGACACAGGGCCTGAGCCCCTCGTGGCTCCCCTTGTGGCTGACGGCACTTGTCCTGCTCTTCTCCCACCCGCTCCAGGCTGGACTGCTGCTCCTCCTGCTATGATGCCTGGGCAGATCCCGGACCCTTCCGTGACTGCGGGCTCTCTGCCAGGGCTCGGCCCCCTGACGGGACTCCCAAGCTCAGCTCTGACTGCAGAGGAGCTGAAATACGCCGACATCCGCAACATTGGGGCCATGATCGCCCCGTTGCACTTCCTGGAGGTGAAACTGGGCAAGAGACCCCAACCGGTGAAAAGTGAGGTGAGCAACCCTGGTCCTCCCAGGCAGAATCCAAGGGTAGGACGCCTGGGGTAGAGTCCCAGGTCTAGCCCCACACTCGCTGTGTGACCTAAGCATTGCTGTTCTGTGGTGCGGGGTCTGAGGACCAGGTCACCCCGTGGCTTGTTAAAAATGCAGAATTCAGGCCCTACCCCAGACCTTCTGACTCAGAATCTAAATTCTAACAAGTTCCCCTGGGGAATTCAAGGACACGCTAACATTTGAGAAGCCCTAGGCCAGTTGACAGTTGAACCTGTCTCTGGTTCTTTGGGGGGCAAGGGAAGAGTGATCAATCACACTAATGAATAATAATATATTGGCAATCTCTCTGGGGTGTTGGGAGGACCAGGGGAGATCATGGAACTGTGCACTTACTTTGAAAAGTATACTAGAGAGTACCAATATTGGGTTATCTTTAAAAATTATCATTAGTCATGTCATTGCGCTAACCCTGGTGGCCCCAGGCTGGAGCTGAACGTGGGAACTTGGAGAAAGGGTGGTGTGGTCTCCCTTTCCCAGGAGCAGCCAGAGCTGGGCATGGCCTCAGCCACTCACAGTCATCTGCCTTAGATGGTATTTAAGGGACCCTTCCTCAGTGTCCCTTGCAGCTGTAGTTCTCATGAGCTTTACTTGCAGAAGAGCTGCTTTTCCCCAGGGACTGGTGAGAAGCAGAAGTCTCCAGCTCAGGGGTGGGGAGTGGGGGGGCGGGCGGGGGGAAAGACATCAGTGCTGGGCACGCCCCCAGCCACTTCCCCAGGCTTGGCGATTTGTCCAAAGGCTTGAGGTCCCCAGCAGGGCTATTTCTTCAGAGGCCTGACAGATGAGTAGCCCACCTGGAAGGGAGCAGGAACCCAGAACCCGCCTTGGGTGGTGAAGTGGCTGGGGGCTGGGGTTGAGGGGAGGACATGGGAAGCAACTGAGCATCGGGTGTTTGGCAGCTGTGAGTAGGGAGCGCACACAGGGAAAGGTGTGCCTGGTGGGGGCTCATGCTTTAAGATGGAGCTCAGAGGGCTGGACATTCCTGGACATTCCTCAGAGGGCTGACTCTGGAGTGGAGAAAGGTGTGTGGGTACCGCAGGGAAGAGTCGGGTATATTATGCAACTACCTCTGCCCTTCCTCTCCCTGGGAGTACCATACAAACTGCAAAGAAGGGCCACGGTGGGGGGGCTTGGCTGGGGTGGCAAATTGGCCATGTGTGAGCTGGATCTGGTTCTCAGATGTGTTTTGTTTGGTCTGCACAGAGTTTTAAAAGAAACTTGAAACAACATTTCACTTGAAAATTTGGATTTTAATCTTTGATTTAAAAAATTGGAACATCGAGTCACACCGTGTCCTGTTCTGGCATGACAGTAGTTACGTGGAGTGGAGAGAGCCCCTTAGGGTCTGTCCGTGCTCCAGTTTGTCACAGCTCCCTGCTATGCTTGCTTGTGTTTACATTGTTGGTTTTGCATTTATTACCACCAGCTACCTTCATTTTCCTTAACTGCTCGGCCCCTGCTGTAGACATTTGCACTTGAGGCACCTGGATTAGGTGCACGGGAGACGCTCATGAAAGACTGTTGACTTCAAGATGAGAGCTGATGATAATGATATTCTTCTGAATTGATTTTGTAAATCAGCATGCTGTCGATAGCACTTCCTGGCTTATGTAGTGTTCTCTTTTCTTTATGGAGGGCCCTTGCCTTTGATTCTTTGCTCTTCACCTTCCCAGGCCCAAAACTTGAAAGCACCTGTTTCTGGGTTGCTCCACAGTATAATGGCCATTTAAAACCAGTAGCTGAGCAGTTTCACTGGGGCGCTGAGGCTGCGGGGTTGATGGAGAGCCTAGGTCAGGGGCTCGCCCAGCAGGGCTTTGCCTGGGAAGGGGCGGAGTTATCACCTCTTCCCTCCGCAAAAGGCGCTGGAGGAGCTTTCCTTTTTCTAGGCGGGCAGGGGAGCCTTTATTTGCGTTGGGTATTTTTACCTTTCACAGCCTCCCCCAAATCGGTGGCATATGCCCTGTACCTGACAGTGACGTGCTGTCTTCACAGGCGCCCACAAAGGCGCACCATCCAGGCGGTGAAAATAACAAGCCGTTTTTAGGGCACATTTGCATGTCCTCTGCCTCCTGTCAGACTGCAGCGTTGTGCGGGGCAAAGAGGCAGGTGGAGTGCGGAGAGTGTGCCTGCATTGGGAACTGACCTCCAAATGCTTCCTAGGTCAGACCCAAGGTGGGTGGGTGGGTGGAGGGGCGCATTCTTAGAGCAACTAAAAATAAAGTGGGTAGGGAGAGAAAATTGCCTCTGCAGAAACTGATGTCCCGAAGATTTATTTGCATGTGGCAAACTGCCTTTGGTGGATTTTTCACCTCGGCATTTTAGACTAGTAAAAGTTGGTTGAATTATAGTAAGACGCTATCTCCCATTTATTAAGCATTTAATATGTACCAGGCCCTGTGCTAAGTGTTTAACGTGCATGGTCTCGTTGATTCCTTACCTGATCCTGGTGACTGGGTTCTCCCCATTTTAGAGAAGAGGAATTGGAGGTCCAGGGAACAGGAGGTCAGGTCACTCAGGTTCACAGCACTAGAAGGGGGCAGCGCTGCGGCCTGTCGTGTGAGGACGCTGCTGCTGTGATAGCCATGTCTCAGTTGCACTGAGCCACATTCCAGGTACAGTGCTGGGCGCGCTTTGTGAAGTATCTCATTGCACTCGCACAGGAACCCTTGGAGGTAATTACTGTTACTTCTTTTACTTTAATGCCCACATGATGGATGAGGTTAACAAGTCTTGGGGAGGTCCAAGGTCATGTCGCTGGGACGCTCACTTTTAGTCGCAGCCTTAATCTTATGCTGTGGTTGCCTCTCTGTGAGGCTGGGGAAGGAGGTAGGGCGGAATGAACCTGGTCCCAGAACACTGGATCATTTTGATGACATGGCCCAATTAGTGCTAAGCCCTGCAATTCTGCAGCCGCATCATCTTCCAGGCCCTGGAGAGGTGGGCCGAGCCGCTGTGCAGGCAGCTCTGTCCAAGGAGGCTCTTGGGCGGTCTGCCTTGCAGAGGCCAGCAGTCTCTTGGGCCATGTCCAAACACATGAAGCAGTTTGGTAAAAGAAAACTGGAGGAATTAAATGACAGGTTTTGTAAATGATAATGTGCTTTGTGCTGATATGGTTATTATGTGTTTGACACATAATGCTAAACTGTTTTGGTGCCAATTGCTTGCCTGCAGGCCATTTGTCCAACAGATATTTGCTAAGCACCTACTATGTGCCAAATGCTGTGCCAAATACTAGGAACTGAACCATAAAGTAGACAAGCCCCCACTTCTCTTGGAGCTGTATATTGTACTGGGGGCATCCGGAAATAAAACTAAGCAAATCAATATACAATATAAATGGTCAGGTAGTAGTCAGGAAAGTGAAGAAAAATTAAGCAGACCAAGCGACAGTAAGTGGTTAGACGGCTGATTTTGATGGCTGGCTGGGCTCTGGGGATGTTATATTCTGGCTTACAGGATTTTTAGAACCCATGCATCTTTCTTGCCTCTGTTCTTCTTTCCAACGTTCCTTTTCAAGACAGCTTTGCTCTCTGGCTTTCTCTAGAGCTTTCCTTCCTACACTTCTCATTCTGTAGCCCCTTCCATTTGGACTCCTCAACCAACTCGTCCCTATTGGCCTGAAGACCGTGGTCCTTCCTGGGTCACCTCTGAGTGGGCTGCTGTGGCTGCAGAGGCCACACCCTGCCTCTGGGTCTGGAATGCATTTCCACTAGAGAGTGGGGGAGGCCAGAGCCCCACCTTTGCACCTACATACACACACCAAGCACTTACTTAACCACCTGCTCGAGGAGACCCCTCGCCCTCTGTCCCACTCTGCAAGGCTCTAGAGGGGACTTGAGTTTAAGGGTGGTTGGAATGAGTGACCTTTTAGGAAAGAGGCTGCAAACTGTCATTCCATGGGCAGGAGTCAGCCTACAGATGAATCTCATTTGGCCTTCACAGTGTGGGTTTTTTTTTTCTTTTTTTTGATTGAATGAGTTGCTATATTTAAAAGCCAGGAAATGTGAACTTTCTGGCTGCTTTTTAAAAACCAGAATATCTGGCCACTCTAGGCCCACACCCTTATATGCAACTAGAAGCTGGAGCTGAGTCGCAGATGCTCACTGTATTAAGCACATGGCCTTTATTTATCACAGTCCCCACTACTCCCTGTTGCCTTACACCCAGCCAGACTGTGTGCTGTGCCTTGTATAGATTATATGTGTCATGCATGCTTGTTGGTTTGAACATTACTGAGCCTGTCAGCTTCGAAAGTCAAGCTTTCTGTCCCTCGATTTCTGTATCTCTCAATTCTTACCACCAAGTGTTGTCCATTTGTCCTGCTGTTCCTGAACTCAAGAGACTTCAGGCAGGAAAAAAGAGAACACAATGAAAATCAAACCAACCATGCCCAAATTTGGCTGATCATCAAAAGCACTTGGAAAACTTCTTCAAAATACAGATTTCCAGACCCCACCCCAGGCCCATGGGCACAGAACCTCTGAAGGCAGAATCCAGCTTAGGGATGACGTTAACTGTTTTTCTGTGTGTTTTTTTTTTAAGCTGAGCCATCCTGCCACCGGTTGGCAGCTCAGCAGCTGCTCAGCTTGGGCCGGGAATCGAACCGCTGTTGCTCAGAGCTCAAACTCTTGAGCGAGCTCTTAACCAACTGAGCCACTTGGCTGACCCTTTAACTGTTTATTAGACGCCTCCTCCGGCTCCTCTGATCCTTGTCAGGGAGCATTCCGAGGGCTTCACCTTGAGGAATCCGTGTGTGTATTTCACCGCGGACTGCCTTGCCACACTCCCCATGCTGACGGGATCCATGTCCTCATCGTCTTCAGAACAGGAGAGGAGAATTCGCTGTTTGTGGATTTCACACTGGTCATTTCCCAATTTTTCCAGGGACTCTGGATGACATTTAGAAAGTTTTCACCTGTGGATGACTTGTGAATTTGAATCTG